TGCACCTGGGGAGGAATAGCACCAGGCACCAGTACAGGTTGGGGGTTAACCTGCTGGAAAGCAGCCCTGCAGAGAAGGACCTGGGAGAACTGGTGGATGACCAGTTGACCATGAGCCAGAAATGTGCCCTTGTGAACAAAAGGCCAGTGGTATCCTGGGGTCCATTAAGATGAATGTGAGTTGACCATGAGCCAGAAATGTGCCCTTGTGAACAAAAGGCCAGTGGTATCCTGGGGTCCATTAAGATGAATGTGACCAGCAGGTTGAGGGATATGATCCTGCCCCTCTGCTCTGCCCTGCTGAGGCCACATCTGGAGTATTGTGTCCAGTTCTGGCCTCCCAGTTCAAGAGAGATAAGGAACTTGTGGAGAGAGTCCAGTGGAGGGCTACCAAGACGATTAAGGGGCTGGAGCATCTTTCTTATGAGGAAAGACTGAGAGACCTGGATCTGTATGTCCTGAAGAAGAGAAGACTGAGAGGGGATATTATGAATGTTTATAAATATCTAAAGGGCGGGTGTCAAGAGGATGGGTCCAGACTCTTTTCATTGGTGGTCAGCGATAGGACAAGGGGCAGCAGGCTCAAGCTGGAACACAGGAGGTTCTGCTTAAACATGAGGAAAAACTTCTTTACTGTGAGCACTGGAACAGGCTGCCCAGAGAAGCTGTGGAGTCTCCATCTCTGCAGATGTTCAAAACCCACCTGGATGCAGTCCTAAGCAACTTGTTCTAGGTGAACCTGCTTTGGCTTTTTCTCCTGAGGTTCCTTTCAACCTCTACCATTCTGTGATTCTGTATCACTCCCCTCCTCAGCTGGATGTGGGAGAGAAAACATAATGAAAGACTCATGGATCAAGATAAGGACAGGCAAAAATCACTCAGCAATTACTTTATGGGCAAAACAGACTTGACTTTTACTTTAGTTTATTTGCACTCAAATCAGAGGAGGATAATAAGAAATCAAATCAAATCTTAAAACACCTTCCCCCCACCCCTCCCTTCTTCCTGGGCTTAAATTTTCTACCAATTTCCTCCTCCCCAGTGGCACAAAGGAACAGGGAATTGGGCTTGTGGTCACTTCATCTCATGTTATTTCAGCTGCTCCTTCCTCCTCAGTGGAGGACTCCTCACACTCCTACCATGCTTCAGTGTGGCGTCCCTCTCATGGAAGACAGTCCTCTACAAACTTCTCCAACATGAGTCCTTTCCATGACTGACAGTTCTTCACGAACTGCTTTATCATGGGTCCTTTCCATGGTGTGCAGTCCTTCAGGAACAGGCTGCTCCAGCGCAGGTCCCCCCACGGGGTCACAAGTCCTGCCAGCAAACCTGCTCCAGCCTGGGCTCCTCTCTCCACGGGCCACAGGTCCTGACAGGAACCTGCTCCAGTGCGGGCTTCCCATGAGGTCACAGCCTCCTTCAAGCATCCACCCGCTCCAGCGTGGGGTCCTCCATGGGCTACAGGTGGTCATCTGCTCCACCATGGACCTCGATGGGCTGCAGGGGGACAGCCTGCCTCACCACGGTCTTCACCACAAGTTGCAGGGGAATCTCTGCTCTGGTGCTTGGAGCACCTCCTCCCCCTCCTTTTTCCCTAACTTCTCTCACAGAAGCCACCCCTTTGCTCCCCGCACTACCAAAACCTGGCCGTGCAAACTCAGTAGAGCAACATAAAGCCCCACATAGCATTAAAATTCATTTCATTAGTAAACACAAGGTAATGCAGCTTGCAAAATGATATAGAGTTTGATCTGGTCATGAGGAGGTTTTAGGATAGAGTTGAGAAGAAAAGTGAGCTGATGTTTTCAGCGATGGGTGTCAGGCCCTTTTTGCCCTTTGGCACTGCACTGCGGAGCAATATGGAGAAGCTCAATGTACTCTATTTTTTCTACAGATGGGCAAACTTCTCCCATCTTTGCAGTCTTTAGGTGGTTTGATTGCTCTTTGGCTGAAGGAATCAATACAAAGCATAAATCTTTATTCACTTTAAAGTTTTGCTTTCCTGCAGGGCAGACTAGGGCTGCAAAATTCCAGCATATCTTCCAATCCAATGCTCTGGAGAGTAGTCCCATGCTTATTTACAAATCTTAAAAAAACATCTGAGAGCATTTCATTTATTTCTCTTAATGCCAGTCAAGCATGTATCCGCTTAGCCAATTTTGAAAACTTTACTTTTATTTTTCTATCTTCTTCCTCTCTGTTTACTGGTTGTGAAGAAGAGTGACAATAAGTCTTCACTTCAGTTAAAGTAGCAGCTTCAAGGAGATTTTTAGTTGAATTTTTCATTGCAATGCCCTATGTGAGAACTCACTGAGATGCATGTGGATGCTGAGTCTTTAAAATCAATATCAGTATAATTGCTTCAACAATGTTATTTCTAACAGTAGACATTGAAAACACATTTAGGTGTTTTTTCTTTAGATATGATAATCATGCATTAAACTAGTAAGCATAGTATTATTCTATAAGATTTCAGCAAAGCAGTTCCATATGGAATTGAGATAGAAAAACTGCCACAATATAGAATGATTCACTGATCTCAAAAAGTAGATTTCCAGCATTTTTGTTGCCCATTAGCATGAGAAGTACAGTTAATTAAACATGCAGTAGTTGTTCTGAACATGCAAAAAGTTGTCTGAAGTATATGTTGAATAGCTGATTAGAATGTAGTATTTCTCATCAAATGAATGAGGCTTCACTTTCTCATTTCAGTATAGAATTGTCCTCCACACACGGTTCCATGTGGTTCTGTGAAAGCTATAATGCAAAAGAATCAAAAAGATTTCCTACATGTGATATACAAGAGTTTTTCATTGCCTCTTGCAAGAATTTTAACTTATAAACATTTTGAAAACTACTTATTTTGTTGTGCTTTGATTTATTTTTAATAACTTCAAAATTCAGCATGGGGATAAACCACGACAATGACCACCCATCCTGTGCAGATGGTCTCCATATCATGTCTGGGGAGTGGATTAAAGGACAGAATCTTGGGGATGTTTCATGGTCTCGATGCAGCAGGGAAGATCTGGAAAAATTTCTCAGGTATATAATTCAAGAAAAAGAACTCTTACTGGATGTCATATACAAATAGTTGCAATAAATATCCTGAAATAACAAGTTTTCAATAATTTTTACCACTTCTGTGGGAAACCTGTGTTTGTATAGCCCATCAAAATAATTTAAATCATCACACTGCAATAGTTAGTATAAGTTAGATGTATCAGACTGACACATTTGTACTAAATCTTGACAGAAATCAAAACCATGACTTGTTTTTCTAACAGGCTTAAGTATTTTCAAACATTTTTTCTTCAGTTCTCCGGTTTTTGAGAAAAGTTAAATTTCCTACTACCAGTTCAGAAATATATGTATTTTTAAATGTGTGTGTTCATATATATATATATAGATATATACATATATATATAAACTGAAATTTTAATTTGAGATCTTTCTAGGTGTGAAAACTAAGCTACACAAATGCCTATGCATTATAGATTGTCTGCTTTTAAATAATTGTTTAAATCTCTATCCAGACCTCAATCAGTTAAGTAAATTTTACAATAAGATGTTGTCTAGGGCTTTCTTGAAATTCAATTATAGCTGATAAATTATATTGTCTTTCCGCAAATGTGCAACATCAGAACACACCATTAACTTACACCAATGAAGTGTAAGTGAATGTGAATTTATATGGAGTCATATCTCTGAATGACAGCCCAATGCTGATGAATAAAACGTCTAAAAAGAGTCTGCATTTTTCTGATGTCAAATGCATGTTTAAGTCAGCATGTCCATCAGACTCTTCAGTATTGTTCAGTGTATGAATCTCTGCATATTGCCAGGTCAAAGGCCAGTACCTGTCTGCTACAGACGAATCCTCAGAGCCTCAATTCTGTGATTATTCCCTCCAAACTCCCAGGAATGACGTACAATGCAGATGAACAGTGTCAGATTCTTTTTGGACCAACCGCTTCCTTTTGCCAAGAAATGCAGGTAAGGATGAGTGTGTACACCTGCCAACTCATTTTTCTATGAGAAATATTTTTGTGCATGTGTTCGAGAGAAAGAAAACAGAACCTTCAAAATGAGAAGTTTACACTTTGCTTTCTGAAGTTAAGATGAACATTTTCATTTGTTTATTTTGTAAGGCTTGCTTTGAATCTCCCAAAATCCTGAAACATGTTGTACCATAGCATACTGATATGTTCCTTGTACTTCAGAAATATAAAATGTCATAGTGTGAAGTCACCTCATTGCAGTGAATAGAATATTTGCAGTTTATTCCACTGGGACCAGATTTTGTGTGTAGGTTCCATTTCATTATGTTTTGAGTATTGAACCTCCATATCTGCCCTTAAATAGCGTATGCTGTGCCTGTGCAAGCTCCAAGGGAGAACAGTGGTGTTAGCTGGGCTCTCTGTACTGCTGAATATAGCCTACCTCCCAGCTGTCCTCTGTGAGCCCTGGCAGAGCTGTGCATTGCCATGGCAACAGGAGTTCCAGTACTTGAGTGAGTTTGCTGAAATTGCTTCATGCCATTGCATGAAACAGTGTCACTATGTATTAACCTTGAAAAGAACGATTAACAAAATTGAAGAGCTCTTCATAATTTTATGGCTTAATATTAGTAGATGTCTGACTGAAGAAGCATTGTAAGAAAAAAAAATAGTCCTTTCATATTGTCAGCAGGACAGGTATGAAACATGTTGGGACACCTTTGAGAAGGTAATGAAGAGAAGATGGGTGGATGCTATTACAAATGTGTAAAGAGCATGAGTATGGGCAGATAGAATGGGGGCTAGGAGGGACTGTGAAATAGAATTTCAGCAGAGTCAGAGTAGACAGATAACCTGGAAAGGTCAGGAATATTTAATATGAAAACATAATTCCTTACTTTAGTTCTTCAGTTCTATTCATCTTTTCAGCTTGGACATAGTACTCTTTCTTTAGCAAGTTTCAGTGAGAATAATCTTTGTCATAAAGGCTCTCAAAGGAAACGTTGGAATACATATATGACTACCGCATATTGAGTGGCATAGCTGACAAAAAAGGAGCTGGACATTACTGGTTATTATTTCAACTGTCTGATTGAAAACATATTCACTCTGAGAGATGAGCAGTAGAGCTCAATATAATGATTATACAAATGTTCTTAATTACTTCCAAGTGCCTTTTTCATTAATTTCAGTCTGTTTCTTGTTTTTTAGTACTTTGTTTTCAATTAAAAGATGTGATTTTGGTTTCTCATTCTCTAGAAACCTATTTTGAACCAGAAAATAAAAAAGCGTTCTCCACCCATTATTTCTTCTAGGTCTTCTTTACCAAATAAAAGAATTTAAACAGTAATTTAAGAGATGGTAAAAACTTTAGATTTGCTGTTGCCTGGTACCTTTATACGCTGTTAACTTCTCTGAGCGTTTCCCCTTCTTTAATACCCTTGAGTTCAGTTCTAATTCAGGTATTTAAATTCAGTGAATATTCTTCTCTCCAGGTCCTGACTCCTAGGTTTCGTTGGTTTCCATTATTATTTTAGAAATGTTAAGAAGTTAAATTCAGTTAACAATACTCTGGTAGTATTCATCTGTTTGCACAAAGAGTACTTAGGCTCTGGATGCTGGTACCTATTGTCCATTTCTAATAATCTTCAATCATTTCTCCTCTTCCAGTATTTTGTATCTAAGAGGACACATTTCAGCTAGGTCAATTATCATCCCCCTTTTTTTCCATTACCTTATGTTAAAATGATTAGTTTAGGAAAATTCCTATTAAATACTAGTATTAGGATACCATTGTAACTTAAATCCAAAGATAAGTGAGCTTGCTTTGAAGAAAGAACCGAGTAATGACGCAAGATAATATGAAAGGCCAATGGTCTTTTCAGCTATGCTTTTTTAAGGACAAACTGCAATTTAATTTTTAATCTTCTTTGTAAACCAAGTCTATTCCTTGATAACCTCATGATCTTAACAGTAAGAAAAGGAGAATGTGATAACAGTTTCTGAGAAGAGAGCAAAGGGAAGAACCTTCTGCAGTTTTATCAAAATCCTTGGCAAAACTGGTAACCCTGAACCAGAAACCATATAAGCAAATACTGAACCACAAAATTATTGTAATCCATCTTTGAGAGCTTTGGATCTATTAGGAATTAGATAAAAATTAATAAAAGTCACTAAGGATGGAACAGAGACAATCTGGTGAGGGCACTGAGGCAGAAGAGAAGTTCTCCAAAGCTCCGTTGCCAACCTCCATAAAGTTAGCTGTTAGTCAGTAGCTAATTTCATTATCTCCCTCTAAAATACAAGGATGTCAGATGGAAATAACAAATACGTTGAATTTAACCTACCAAATAATTGCATTTTGCAGATTATGAAGGTGATTCAAAGTTCACTGTATTAATTGTGCAGATTATTGTGTCTGCCATTAGAGAAGTCAACATTTAGAAGACTTTTCTAAATTGAATACAGTATTTCATTATTTACAGTATTAATTTATTAAAATAATAATTTTATTATACATTGGCAACCACTGAATTTTCCATGAAATCCAAACTACTTTCTTCTATCCCTGTATACTGTCTTCTACTCTGCCAGTAACTGACAATTTACTGTGATTACAGTTGTTGTCCGCAAGCCAGAAAATGAGAGAAACGTACTCCTTGAAGATTCATTTGAACTTCAGTAAATGCAACAATTTGTAGCCCAGTATTTCTTGGAGATGTTCTACTTGCGTAACAGTCATGCACTTCAGTGTAACTATGTAGAAGATAAATTATGAACTATGTCAGTCTTACATTTTTTGTGATTCAAAGATAATTTGATGACCAGACTTCCATGCGGTCTTTTACACTAAGCAAGAATGTTTCCTGTGTAACAGCTTTTCAACCAAAGAAACCATTGAATAATGATGGAAAATAATTTTCTTAATGGTCTAAAAATAATCTATAAATATCAGTGGTACAATAAATAATGCATTTCTGCTGAGATGTAATTTTCTACAAATGTTATTACTGAGCAGCATTTTAGGATAATTTAGAGTCACATTACATGGCAGCCTCTGATAAACACTGCAGATGCCAATGATTTTCCCTTGCTATCAGGAATTCCTCTTTATGATTTAATGGCTAAAGCACAGGACTGAAGGGACCATTGAGGGCCTACTCCCGTGTGTGAGCACCTCCCACTCCTCTTTCATGAATCATGTCCAGACTTTATTTTTGCCTTTTCATCTTTATTTCAAAGACTTTTTTTCATACCCTAAGCAAAATTTATAGAGCCTGAGAAAAGTGTGAGTAGATCTCAGAGTACAAGATTTATACCATGTCACCGTGCTTATCTTGTAAGGGAGCCAAGTTTGCTTTTATGCCCATGATGTCTCACACAAGAATCAATTAGACCCGAACTTTCTTTCACATAACAGATAGTGAGATCATGGCTCAGCAGTAGTTCTTTATGATTAAATGTGATTCTAGAACTTGACAGTTGAATTTAATTGTTGAACTATGTAAGGCTGGGTTTTTAAGATTAAAGTCCAGGATGCAAATGCTATCTAGTCACTTCCACTAAAACAGTTCTTGTCATAACACAGCTGTGACCTTTGCAAAGAAATGGGAGACTGGTTATATTTCATGGTGTTTTTAGGGCATTTCAGGAAAAGATCACAATGAAAAGAACAAAAGTCATGGAAATATTATAGCTCTGATGAAATATCTGTCCTCATCTCCACCACCACATTGTAAACAATCTTGACTTTGCACAAATACAGTTCTGAAATGCTCGTTTTGTCTCTGTTCTTTCCTCTCAACTGGGCCTTCTTTCCAGATGCTTATATGATTGGAGAAGCATCCCTCTGATGCACACAGACCTACCTCACTCTTTTCATTCAAAAAAAATTCCAAAAAGCTGGAATGACCTCTGCTATTCCTGTAGTACATCATGACTTTCGTATTTTGTTTTAGAAGCTTTTGCTGTTAAAACCTCGGGATTTTCTTTCAGAAAAAAATCCTTTGTGTGTGCTTGCCAATATTTTGTTTTCCAGTGTACACAAAATTAAATATTTTACAGATTTTAAATAGTCTAATGTCATGAGTATACGTTTATAATCTCCAGTGACTCGTACTTCCGTTGGCTAGTTTGAAAAACTGTAATGGCTGTTGAACTGTGCTTATGATAGATAACTGGTAAACGTTTATGAACATTAACAGCTATCGTGACTTGGGCTGAATGAAAATTTCTACCCAGAGGAGTAAATTTCTGGTTTAGAAGTTTGTGCTCTGATTATGGAGTGACTGTAATATTGACACTGGCCTCCAGATTTCTGTTAATTGTCAGATCACTCCTGATCTGCAATGTTGCAGGTTACTAATGAAAAAAACCAAGTTGTGCATCATGGTTTTTCCCCAGACACATGCACAAATCCACAAATGTAAAAAGTTAAATTGTAAACAGTAATTTTAATTAGGAGCATTACGTTAGCATCTATTTTTGTGCAGTTGTTCCAATAGTCTGTCATTTCATAGCTGATACGATGTTCTTTCTCCCTTGAACAAGAACAGAATTTACAGTTTGATATTTGAAAAAAGCTTGTTAAAATTATTCAGGATCAGGATAGGACTTCTGTAGCTATATTTTAGGATATGCATAGGCTAACTGTTGTCTTAGTTCAGCTTCAGCACAGAATTGTTACAGGATGAATCAGTAGAGTCTGACTGCTGCCATCCTGTCTCTTGTTTCTGTGCAACGCTTCAGACCTGTACAATCTTTGACTTTTTTTGAAAGCTGATGCTACAGACATTTTTACATGCAGGACTCCCTCTGGAACTGTCCCATTCCTCGGTTCAGACACAATCTTTTATTGAATTATGTTTCTTGTGCCATAAGACTTTTTTCAAGGTACTATAGGATTTATCACATATTTTTCATGCCTAATGTAGAAGGCACAGAGATCCTTACTGGGTTTACCAATGCAATAAATAATTTCAGTCAGAAAAAGCACGTCATCTAGCAACCCTAGTTTAAAAAAAAAAAACGCTGATCTTTACCTTTTATCCTCCCTGCAACTTGTTCCTTTTCCTGATCCTCCTTGCCCCTCTTTGGGAGTACTGTACATATTTGGGGAGAATCAGTCTGCACATGCAGTAACATTCAGGCCACAACTGAGCCCCGCATGCCCTCTCTTCACTTCCACCCAGTTTCCCAGTAAGGGGGGAACAAGACAGCAAAGAGAAGGAAGTAATGACTGAAAAGCATGGAAGAAGGAGAACTTTTTAGAGGAAAATAAGGAAGGCTACCAAGGAAATCTGGGGAAATGCAAGCCAGCATACTTCAAGGCTTTACTTTCCTTTGAAGAAGGTAAAATTATCTTGTTCTGATGCTTAAGAGGGACAGAATAAGCAGCTTTTCTTTCCATCTCTAAAATTCACTACTGCCTAGTACCTTTCTCTTCTCCCTTCTCTTCTTCTTCCCAGCAAAAATATTTCATCCTGATTTGTCAGTTTACTTTGTGTCTTCTTTGTGGATATCAGGTTTGATTGCTTTTTTGAGATATTTCTAGAGCAATGAATGTATTCTATAGGAATCATGAAGCATTGGAAGAGCACAAGATAGCAACAATCATTGGAATGGTATGAACAAGGGGGATTTGGAAATCCTAGAGAAGCCTCGATGTTTCTCACAAACAAATCAAGTGAACATAGTTCTGTGTAGCTGCACAAAGACTCATTAGTCCCTGTATGTAGAAACAGACTCATTGTAAAACCTTTTTGTTGCTTGTCACAGTGCAGTTTTTATCCCTTTCAAATAAAATGAATGAGCATTAAATAAAAGGAGTAAAAATATGAATTAATTTAAAAAAAAAAATCCCAGAAAGCTCATAACTTTTCCAGTCTCTAGGAGGGTACATCTACACAGTGGTGACTTCACATCATGGGGCAAAGTTGTTCCTCTTTTCTTTGTCAGATCTGCCGTATGCGAAGACCATGACCCCTAGGGTTAGACTTAGACCATTCTTCCCTGTCTCTGTCAACACACCAACTTGACTTGTTCTGTATGCCCATGATTAGTAAAAGTCCACTTTGATTTTTGTGCATGCTTAACCTGTCTTTAAACATACTCCAGTACCATCAGACTGGTAACTTTATGACAGCATTAGTGGACTGCATGCAGAAAACAATTTTGCATAAGATGATGGATTTTGTGCTTACTTATGTGTTTGGTTTTCAGCATGTCATTTGCACTGGGTTGTGGTGTAAGGTGGAAAGGGAGAAGGAATGCAAAACTAAACTGGATCCACCAATGGATGGAACAGACTGTGACACTGGAAAGGTATGTTTCTGTTGGAAAAGCAATATAAATCATGTTTATAAACATCTAACAGTTAAGGGAACAAGTTGAACAGGTCTTTGCATTTGTTTAAAGTTCTTGCTTCCCTCAGCTATCATAAAAATCGTACGTATATAGTTGAATGTACTATATGTTGTATATTATATAATATAAATATGATTAAAAGTATATTTCCCTAAAAACACCGAATTTTTAAAAAGTTAGCCAAAGCCACCAACGTTTTAATGCTTGCACTGTTTTATTTCAAATTTGTTTAGGTTTTGTATACTGTTTATGAAGGAAGTGTCATTGTTGCACTGCTTACTGTAGGCAGAAACATGAGCTTCCAAAGATACAAAGTTCTCAGCTATGATTTAAGATTTAGAAATAGTCTCATTGAAGGAATTGATTCGTGGTAAAACTTTTCAGGATAAGCTTTGTAAAGAAGTATTTATAGTATCAGTGCATGTAAAAGAGTGATAAATTTCATTAAAAGTGTGCCCTCAAAGACAAACTAAATGGTCAGCTGAAGTCAGACTTATATCAAATGTCCTTCAGCAGCTTTCCTGTTTGAATAATCTCTGTCATCTCTGTATATAACTGTAAATGAAGATAAATAACTTCAAAGAGATAACAGAGCAGGAGCATGCATATATTATATTCTGCTGACAAAAGTCTCCCACAAGAGTGATAAGCTTTTTGAATCGTATTACATTCACCAGGACTGTCATCATCCCCCTAAAAAAATAAACAAATCAATCAACTGAGTAAGATAAATTGTTCAGATAATATAATTTAATGTGCTAAAGGAAAAACAGGCTTTATTCATTTTTGTAACTCTAAAATAATGAAATTTATTGTTATCTTTTAATTCTGATGAATGTGTGTAGTTGATATTCTGCCTTAAGTCAATACCTGGAAAGTCAGGGACATGCCTTTTTTTCAATGTCACATTCTTTGCATTGAGTCTGGTGTACATATGGTATGGAATAAGAAAGCAGCACCTTTTATTAAGACTTCCCAGAATTTTTCATTGTGAAACCATCACCATTGTGAACTGGGCACCTGAAATTAGTGTACATTTTGTGTATTAATGTCTGACTTGCAAAAGGTAATAATAACAACTCATTGCGGAGTTGTTATCATTCTAACTTTATACTTGTGGGAGCATTATGATATAGCAGTGACATGGGTCCTAGAAAAGTCCAGTGAGGAAGGTAGTGCCGTGCTCTGTGTTGTAGAGCTTAGCTAGTAGCGAGTAAACGATTAGTAAGGCTAAGATGAAGTACTGGTTCTAATTAGAATGTTTCATTGAGCCTTGTGCCAGGCTATAGAGATACCTTATTCATGCCTAGTAGTAAAAAACTAAGCAGATATCACTGAAACATCTCAGGGAATTAGAAGGGGTTATTCTTCTTGTTTACTTTATTATTTGTCTAAGATGAGTTTCAGTTTACACAAATCACTGGCTTTGTTTTGTTTCACTCATATTGTAGAGATGGAGTATTGTTGTCTTGTGTTCCTCTTAGGGTCTTAGGAAGTGACAGAAATGTCATTTGCATAGCCTAACTTGGTTGTTTTTTAAGTTAAGGATTTATAAGCGTCCCTCAGAATCTACATAAGGCAGATGCTATCGCTAGAAAAAAATCCGTTTCACCTATTATATCTGAAGGAATATCATTAAATAAGTGTGACCGTTTTTGATCTGAAACATATCCGAGAGCATTACAAAATTTGTAGCCTCCGGTTGCAAATCCAATATAATAATGGAGCCATCCTATGTGAAGACTTTTCAAAGGTGGTATAATTATGCCATCATTGTAATGCCATGATATAAGAGAGAAAATTAAGATCAATTGATCAGTGAAGATCAGTTTGAAACTGCAGGTGAAGTTTAAGATCACCAGATAAGGATCTAGCACAGACACTGCAAGTCAAAAAGACCATTATTGTCTGCTTTAGTGACATGTTTTGTTGTGCTCGAAGTATGAGACTTCTTCAGGGACTTTATCCATTGATAACAGTAGTTCACTAATAATTCAGAGTGCAGAGAGAAATGGGTTAAATTACTGATGTGAATGACATTAAGTGTTCGTTGTCTACTTGTAGCCTTATTGCTTTTCAGTTGATGAAATTACATAATACTTGGGACAGATATTCAGCTGGTATAAGCAGACGAAGTACTAGTTCCTACAGTGTAATGATTATTTATACCAGATATGGTCATAGGTTATAGAGCATAACAATAGGGATTCGATAGTTTTTGAGTGAGAAATTGAAGTTGTCCTGGGAAATGATATATGCATATGAGATTATTGATATGGTTATTAATATTGGTTAAATAAATGCCAGTAGTTCTCTTGACTTTCTCAACACTAGCTTATTGAGGTTTCCATTCTCTTTGAATACAGGTTGTGAATAAAATCTCATTTTCTCTATTACTTGTAGTATAACCTTCTATTGAAATTGCCACTGGATAATCAGTGACAATGCAGTTCCTGCTGGTTATGTGGGAACTGCAATAGTGAATGAAACAAGTCCTGAAGATAGCCCTGAACACTATGCTGTGATCATCCATACAGTTCAGATGGAGGATGATCCCTGCAGTGGGTTTGGGAAGAACCCAAAAGTGCTTTCCTAGACAGTGGTCAGACTCAAAGAAGGGGACAGCATGGTCTGGGGACCATTTAGAGCAGGGCATTCCAGGAGTTATCATTTGCTGGGAATGAACTTGTGTTCAAGCTTGTGGACCAGAGTTGCACTTGTTTCTTGGCCACTGAGACAAAGAAAGGTCTTTGGCTGTTTTATTTACTAGGATAGAAAAAAAAAAAAGGAAAAAATATATCTGACTCATATGCAAACTATGTATTGAACAGAATGTTTTATGTTGTGCTTTCCATATGCTTGTGGAGCAGTGAATTGTCTTGCATGCGCCTTGATTTATTTACCTAAAAGCTGAATTTTCACCTAGTGGTGTAAGGCTGGAGAGTGTATCAATCGGACCTCTTTTGCGGAGCACATGGAGGGGGAGTGGAGCACGTGGAGCCCTTGTAGCCGTACTTGTGACACTGGAATCAGCAGTCGACAACGCAAATGCCCTGGGTAAAAACAAGTTCCGGTTTCCATTGCTGTTCATCATAATTTCTGAACAGAATTTAAATCTTTGAAGTACAGAAACCCATTAAGATATAGTTGTCCTATACATAAGCAATTCTTTTTTTATAAATACTGGAAAACTATTAGGAGAATAGGTATTTCAGGGTTTTTTATTACATCCTCTTTTCTGCTTCTGTCAAAAGGTTAACTTAGATAATATTAATAGGGGAATGCAGCTTTCTTTTTAAGCTTCACCCAAAGAAGCGACAGAAAGTTAAATTCATAATTTTTGACTTGCAGAGCACAGTGTGTAATGCTAGTCTTTCAGTTTTTTGCTGGAGAAAATTTACTTTTGTCTCATTTGGAGAGCCAAGGAATTGCAATTTTTACAATGAGACCTTTCTACCAATTTCACAGACATTTAGATAGAATATCTGAAAACAATATTTAGATTCCTTATCTCATGAAAATGAAAACCTTGTGCTATTGAGGATAAAGGGATTTTTACCATTGACTTGAATGGAGTCTGTTTCACCATATTTCAGTGGTTACCTACAAGATCACATCCTCTTAATTACTTTAGTTTTAGGTACTCTTCCATGGGTTCTTTATACACCAAGAGAAAAAGAATAAATAGGCAGAGAAATGGGAACAGAGTAGAGCTGAGTAATGAAGACAAGTGTAGAGAAGACTAGACTAGACTATACTAGACTAGACCAGAGTAGGGAATGGTAGGGCAGGGCAGGGCAAGGCAAGGCAGAATAGGGCAGGTGATTTAGGAAAATAGTAGAACAAAGGGTGGAAATTGAGAAAGATGAAAGACAATATAACAGATGGGGAGAAAAAAAATATGACAGGAAAGACAGAGGTGTTAAAAAAGAGAAGTTTGCACAGAGAAATGTGAGGATATGGCTATACAAAAGCACGGTAGTTTAACAGAAGCCTTAGATATGCAGAATGCTTTAATATTTCCTGCCTTCTAAATGCCACTTCCAGCTGTATGCCTAAAAGCTATTTCTAGGGATAGAATTCAAGGATGTCTTAATTTCACTTTTGTTCATTTATTTTTCCAGGCAAGGTTCCATATAATTAGCTCCAGTTTCTTCAGTACACTGTTCTTTTGTATTTGTTCATTAGGACCTGCAAGCACAACTGGAGTGACCAAAAATAAACAAAGCATATTGTGTGAACTTCACAATATCACACATGTAAAAGTGGAGAGGTAGCAAATCTGCAGGTTTTACTTCCTTTCAGTGGCATCTTTGGCTCAGTCCAGCTACAGAAAAATCACCTGGGCTATACGAAAGCTGCAGTTAGGTTCTCCTTACTGAACACTTTTACCAGTCCTCATGCTTCTCTGGAATGTTACATGTAATGTAACCAGTACAAACAGAAGGCAAATATATTTTGTTCTGTGACTGATTTTTTTGTGGATTTCTTAATATTATGTGTCATAAAAATTCTGCTATTTAAATTGAGTTTTTGTATAGCATAAATAAACTGTGCTGTAAATTTGACAAACATTGCCAACAATAAAGCATGATATTTATGCCATCTTTTCTAGTTCAGGGCTTGAAGGAGAGTGTCACGGTCCCACAATGCAGTATAGAGTATGTGAAAATCCTTCTTGTCCTGCTGGTGTGCCTGCCTTCAGGGACTGGCAGTGCCAGGCTTTCAGTGTCAGATCTTCATATCAGAAGCACATGCACCAATGGCAGGCTGTCATCGATGATGGTAAGTATAAAGTATCTCCCATGTTCTTACCATCTGCTCATATGGCTTATAGCTTTTTGGTATTGTTGTTGATTAAGAAAGATACAGTAAAAACTAAAGCAAACAAACAAACAAACCCCAAGCCCAAGATTTTTGTTAAGTCATTTCTATTTCATAGGCAAGATCTGGTGGTATTTTCAGATGCTGTGGAATCTTTTGTCTCATAATCCTATTGAGTTTCTCATTCTTGATTCAGCTCATTTCATAGTAAGGAGAACTCTCTCCAGCTGTTTTATAGGTGCTTATCTATTGCATTAGTTTTGCTTTGTTTTACTAAATTTCATTTTAGCACAGGAACACATGATTTAATATCCTAGTGGATCTAAAGGTTCCAGCCTGACTTGGAATAATTCAGTCATCTGATGAAAAATCTTGACACTCTCCTGTGCCATCTTCAGGAGTATTGGTGGTTGCTTTCATCTTTGTTCTGAGAGATCCTGTTGTCTTGAGGTGTCCCTCAGGAGACAAAAAAGTGGACACCAGCTAAAGAGTTCCAGTATTATAGAAATATATTGTTCCCAAATCCTTAATTATTTGCACTCTTAGCCTTTTGTAGACACTAATTGTGTACCATGTCCAAAATAGTTGCTGTATTTGAAAGAGGTCTCCTATGGTCTGTTGAAGTTGTCCAGTGTTGTTGAATTACTGTCTCTTTGAGTTCAGTGTCCTTAAAATAATATTTAGGTTGTTAATCTTGTATTCCTTTCAAAAATGCTGATACATGCAGAGGGAACAAACTCAAGCAGAGATTCATGCTTCTCAGCTGGAGATGGCTTGTGTCTGACTGGCTTCACATGTTGGCGAAAGAGACCACATCTGTTTGCACCAGTCCCCTAGAGATATCCAGAGGCTGTGTCTATTTTAGTAAATTAAATGTACCCAGACCACTCTCTGATGTGTAAATCACCTGGCACAGAAGTCCTGTGTCTACTTTTCAACTCTTTTGCACTTTAAAAAGGATGGAGACATCCAAACTGATTTTTGGAAATAGTCCTTTGCAGATGGCAATTTCCAGTCTAGACCAAGCTAGTGCTAGTTAGCACAGGCAAAAAAAAAATGTGGCATAGACTGTTTTACAGTTCAGCTGTATAGACAGTAGAATTCCAGTGCCCATGAATGTTTCCTGGAACTGTTTAATTTACTAATAAAAATGCACTCCAGGAATCTAGAAGTCAGTATTAAGTCAGAATGGGGAAAATTGTGTCCAAGTGAAATCAATTTCATGTTCAAGATTGACTTTATCCTTTCAAAAATCTGCAACAGATTTAGGAAGAAGTTCTGAGTCAGTACACTTGTGAATAAAGGTATGAAAAAAACAGCTGACCACTGAGAGGAGACTTAGTTTATTTAATTTCTTATTGCTTTGGCAGTAGTGAAGCAAACTTCATTATTATAAATGATGACCATTAGGAATACATGGATACATAGGACATTATTACTTTTTAAATTCTCTTTCAAAATTACAAATTATTTGCAGAATGTTCTAGAAATGTAGTAGAAAATTGTCTGACCTTGTTAAAGATGTTAGAAAGAATGTGTTCAGTTTTTTGTCTTTTTTTTAATGTGGACTTTGTAAATCCATATATTTTTCTTTCCAGGGTCTCTCTTGTTTCTCTTTGGCCTGCATAGTTAGCAAAATCTGGAAAGTATTAAGTTTCTTTTTTCACCAATATTTGTGATCTGCCAAAAATATAGTAGAATAAAAGTATAGGTTACAACCAAAATATTCCAGCAGCTGTAATATGCATATTCTTAATTGCAACAATGAACATGACATGAGTACTATGTAGGCCAACTTTATAGCACCAGTATGGTCTAGCAGGAAAAAGAACTTGAGTTTCCCTGAGAAAAGGATCAAAACCTTTTTGTTTTCACTGTATCTAAGATGACTTGTTATGCTAATATAGATTTATGCCACACAGATAAGCAAATACCAGTTTTTAAAATAATGTTGATAGTAATTCTGTGTTTATTAAGTGACCTTTTACCAATTCAGTGGGTTTTTTTTATCAATTGCTACTACAGAAAAGCCATGTGCCTTATTATGTTCACCAGCTGGAAAGGATCAACCCATTCTTCTAACAGAAAAGGTGATGGATGGGACTTCTTGTGGCCAACAAGGGTTAGATGTCTGTGCAGATGGTAGATGCCAGGTATGAATTAGTTGTTTTGGACGTGGGTATACAGGCACACGTGTGCAAGTGCATGTATTTGTTTTGCATATGTTATTTCTCTGAGACCATGTTGCAATATGCACAACCAACACTGAATGGCTCTTGTTGTATCACATTAAAATATTTTTAGCTAATTTCACTCAGTACAACATAGTATGTGAAGCAGCGAAAAGGTTAGCCTGGGGAATGTGTATCTATGATCATAAGGTTGCTTATAATAAACTTCTGCAGAATGGAAAATGAATATAACTGATTTAGTCTTCTAAAGGAGGCCTCAGCTTTCAACAGGTTGGGAAATCTTGCCATGGGGTGTATATATGTATGTCTAATTCTGCCTTTTTCAACAGAACAAAATTTTGCATCTAAATAAACCAAGACAAAAGGTGCAGAATAACGCATAATTAAAGCTGAGTGCTTGTGCTATTCACGATTGTCAGAATTCATTTGGTTTATAAAAGTTATTTTGTCACTTTTATAGTGCCACATATGGAAACTCTTCTATATAAAAATCCCTGTATGCTGTTTTTTTTCTTTATCAGCTTCTCATAACACACATTGAATTCGGTAGAAAAAAAATTCTTAAATTAACATAGAAACAGCATTGCTAGATATTGTAATAACATCAACAATTTAATTTATAGATGCATGTATGTCTGCATGTATAAATGCATGCAAATATGTATATATTTGCATATATATGTATATGCAACTAACTCTATGTATAGTTATCCTTTCTTGAGTGACTGAGTGCATGCAATGAGAATACTCTGAAATTCTTTGCTGGATTGGAGCTTTAGTTCACCATGTAACAACCATAAGTTTAATCACAAAGGAGATATATAGCCTATTTGTTTTATCATTCACTTTTCACAACTGATAATAAGGACCAAAAAAAGCCTTAAACTAAACCCACCTGACTAAGACTGAGTTGGCTTCTTGGCATATCAAGGGTTGGAGAGATAGGTGCTAATCAGATTTGAAAGTCTAATTTGTAACATCTTCCACATTTTACCCTGTCCTCTTAGAGAACCCATTAGAAAAAACTTTTCAGACTACAGCTGTAGAGTTGGGTATTTATATCTTGTAAATGTGCCATTTTGGATACACAGCTCTTCAAATGCTTATGCCATAATCAGTATTTTGAAATCTGTATTGCTTTTTTAGGTATAGGAACTCTAATAAAAATTCTGTGTATAAAGTGAAGTAACAGTCTTAATGTGCATGGAAATTAGTGGCTCCTTGATAGACTGTGGCTTCTGTTTTCAAAAGAATCCTTTATTTCATCTTTAACCTAGCTTTTATCTTCATTATCTATCAGTCCATCTTGAAGTTTAATTGTTTTTATCAGATGCATGTATACAGTGCACAAGATTACCTTGTGATGACTTCTCTAGAATTTGAAAGGCATTTATATCATACCAAGCCAGCATATTAACTATATTCCTATTGTCAAGCTACCACTGATATTTATTGATATGAATATGCCTAACTTAGTAATGTCAAAGTGCTGGAGTAAACATTTTTTTTTAAACTGAATGCTTTTTTGCAAAAGAGAAGTACAGTTATATTTATGTAGTCCAGACTTGTTCATGTCCTATTCAGACTAAGACATTAAGCTGACATTAGACACCACTTTACCATTGTGAGTGTGGCAAAGAACCTCTTTTAATTTGAGTAGAAAACAGCAGTTGCACACGTTACAGTTGCTGAGCAGAAGGGCATGTGGCGTGTGTATTACACAGTGGCTTGGAAGTGCCACAGGTCCCGGGGGGAAGTGGGATCGTGCTTGTGTTCCTCTTGGAGAGCAGCTACTAGACTTAGTAACCATATAGGAAAAGTGAATGCATCGATGTACATAAAATAGTGGAAAAAATTACAATGGTAAGGATCTCTGCACATGAACTAGTGCAGCCCTCATTCTGAGCAGGGCTAGATCATGTTGGTTAGGGCACCTTGCAAAAGGGTGAGATGCCCACTACTAAAGGCAGCTTTATGAAAAACATAGTCTGTGTCTCTAATAGCTTTATTTTCTTCTTTCACAGAAATTTGGCTGTGATGGCATATTAGGATCTCTGGCTCGTGAAGATCATTGCGGTGTGTGCAATGGTAATGGAAAGTCATGCAAAGTAATTAAAGGTGATTTTAACCATACCAGAGGAGCAGGTAGGTCTGTTTATTTCAAATACCTAGTAGCTGTTTGATTAATTTGAGCATTGGGAACTTTAAAAAGCTATACTTCTTAAAATTATGCAGTTCCTCACGAGAACTTCAGATCTACTTGTTTTAAGATAATAAGACATTTAAGACAAGAATACATGAGTACTTTAAATTTAACTGTTGCAAAATTATTGCAAATTGTTTCACTTATAAAATTAAGGAATTATCTGATTTATCTTCCATTAAGACACACATTATTTCATAGAAGAGTGTGATTTTTAAAAAATCTGTGAGATAAAATTTCTATTTTTTAGTAAATAAATGAACTGTTACACGGTTGTGCTGTTTAGATTTGTTTAGTGTTCTTCAAGATAAATATCCAAATTATGATCTGTTACCTAGAGTAATGTCATTAAACCAAGCCAAGCAGTGTGAGAACATAAAGCCAAATGTGTGAAGAAGTCTTACATCTTTTCGTTACTCATTGCTTTATACTAATACTAACATATCATAAAAAGCAAATAGATTTTCTGATGCAGCATGAACATAAGATTTTCAAAACTGCTATGATCTGTTCTTTGAATGAAAATAATTGACTGGCTTCAGCACAACAGTGTTGACAGAGCAGAGAATTGGAATCTTAATAATGCATACCATGCACCATGTATACCTTCTTTCCAAGAAAAATCTTTTATTTGAAAGAGCATTTGGCAGCATTTGGCAGAAAATGTTTTCAGCATTTGCTTACTGTTACACTTTCAGTTTCTTAAGTAGAAAATGTGCAGAATTTCAAGATAGTAAGTAAATCACATCAAAAAATACCCTAATTAGAAGCAGACAGTATATTTTTGAAAAATCAAAGACTTCAATCCACTATAGACTGTAATACTTTAAAAAAAAAAAACAAAAAAAGTTACCCATAGTCTTCAGATGTCTGTGTGGCCCTCTCTTAAGCTGAAGGTGATGCAGAGCAGGGATCCCAAATGGTGGATGAGTCTGCAGGACTACAGGATCAAAAAACACAAAGAAGGTGGCTGCTAATAGAAATTATGACATGTCAGCTCTCTTTAATAGCTAATGTGAACATCCACACACTTTCAAGTTTGTACAGCATTCTGTGTCAGTCCATAATATTGTGGCATTGCCCTCTAAACAGCCGTGTAAGTTATTTTCCTTCCCAAGAAGCTGGACTGTCAGCTAGACTTAGAAAGTGTTATTAACTCTTAAGGACATTAAAGATAAATAATGCTGCTTTGCAGCTATTTAATTTTCATGGTTCAGGATTATTGAAAATTGTTGTCGTAAATGCTCAGTATTTTGTTATAGAATATTACATAGCTACATGGCACAAAAACTTGGTTTACTGTCCACTTCTTGAAGGTCACCTGAATAATCTAAATAATGTTTTCATTTATTTATAACATTCCTGCATGCATGGTGGTTTTCAACTGCATTGCCTTTTTCACCCTTTTTTACTTAAAGCAAATTGCTCAACAGCATGTCTTAGTCCCACACTCTAAGGAAGCAGTGGTAATCTAAACCAAATAACTAATAAGTAGACTTTGAAACTAAAAACATTCATAACAGGGTTTGAATGTGTTAAAGCAAAAAGAGGGAGATGGAGTAAAAGGTATTTTAGAGGAAAAAAAACCGCACCAAAACCAAAAAAACACACCATGGGAAGATGTTTGATTTTTGTGCCATATCATTTGTCTCTACACGCTGAGTGAAGATGGAATTCTTTTATGGTTGTCTGGTGGCGATGATGACACTAAACTACTTGACCAGGGACAACTTAATCTCTTACAGCCCACACCTGCCCAGCCTCAGTAATTCTGACTATGTTTTATTTTGCTATATGCTTTTAATTGTATATCATTTTGTATGTATATTACACATGGTGCACAGTTTCATAGCTTGTTTCAACATTTTGAAAGAACCCTCAAACCATTGCTATGTAAATTCTAACTTGCTGCCTTCAAAAAGTGGAACAGCGGAGAAGAAATTAAAAAAAACATTCAATACTTCTGTATTCAACTCGGGACATCTGTTCTCATGTCTAGGTTATGTGGAGGCTTTGGTGATACCTGCAGGAGCAAGGAGAATCAAAGTTGTGGAAGAAAAACCAGCCCACAGTTATTTAGGTAAATGTCATACGTTTTAGTGTTCACGTCCTGTTTTGGTCAGCAATGAAGAGTATTAGCTAAAAATGCCTTTGTGATTTAACAAAAGTCTGAGTGAAAAAAAAAATCTGTGCAATATACTTCTAAAGAAATTTTGTAGAAATAACAAAATAAAAGAATGGTTATAGCATCATTCTTCATATAGGATTTATTTTGAACTTTTGTCACATCTCATTTTGTTTAGAGAATGTTTCAAAGAATGTATTTAGATGATTTAAGAAAAATTCTGCATACTTATCTTCAACAGTTTTGATTTTTCATATGGAAAATGCTAAAGAAAATAATTCACATTAAAACTAGTGAAAAGAGTTTTATGCTGCAACATGAAATAATTTGTGCTTAGACAAAAAAAAGCCACACCAACCAACATACAGCAAGTCACCAACAAAGTCAAACAAAAGTACTAAAACTAGACTAAGAAAGCAGATAAATATTTATTTCCATTATTTTGAATTTTCTGAATGTTTTAATGGAAAAATTAAATCACAATGAAGTTTTTTTTTTGAGTTTTCCATTTCTATGACATTGTCTTTCATTGAAAAAAAACGTTTTTTTCTCTTAATGAGTTCTAACGCTGTTGTGTAAGAGAGTTATTTTGTTGCTATTATTGTTAGAGGGTTTAAGTGAATATATGAAATATCATAATTGGTGCTGTTCCATGCACTGCTTCAGTTTAAATTGAGAGAGACTTAGTATGAGAAATAGGACAATTAAATTAAAAATTACCTAGTTTGATCACTATTCTTAGTTCTGCTCATAAGTAATATCTACATTTTAAGAAACTTTTTACCTGAGTGTTCTCAGTACTTCAACTGAGAGAATGTTGAAGATGGTCTATCTCAATTATGACAGTTTAAGTTGTCAATAGGTGACTCTTGGTTTGTCATGCAGTCTGCACCTGGCCTGTTAAGATATCATATGAAATTTAGAGATCTGGAATATTTCATTATTCCCCAATGGACCATAGACATGGATATGTCAGTGTGAAATCGATAGCTGAAGTTTCAGTGACATATTTTTTAAATTTTCCAAGTTTTTTCCCTTTCTGTGTACTGTGTTAACATATGTGGACAACAGAAATACTATTATTTTTTATTTTTTTAAATAATACCAAAACAAATAAATGTTGGAACTTTATTTAGGGAAATTAGTTACTTTTTCATGAATAGCAAACTGATTCATGCTTAATACCAAAACAAATAAATGTTGGAACTTTAGGGAAATTAGTTACTTTTTCATGATTAGCAAACTGATTCATGCCTTAACTTACAAAAAGCAAAAAGACTGTCATGCTTTTTATGCATTTTGTGCCCATAAAATAACACCAGTCATGCTGCTTATTTTTGAAATCACATAATCAACTCTTAATTGCTTGTCAATTTCACTGCAATAGTTTTTTGTTAAGCGTTTATGGTGAAGCAGGAACAGGTCTGCTGCAGTATTTTGAATTAAAGCCTATGCTGTTGCACCTTTTTTTCTTTTTCTACTAGCAGAAGGTATTTAAATTTTCTCCACTTATAGGAGATTTATTTTGAAAGCATAAAAATATGAATTGAACAGGAGCAACATTTTGAATAGGAACATTTTTGAGTAGGAGTAACACAATGAGAGTTTTGATGAGAAAGCATAAATCTTTCATCTTAGAAACAATATTCTTCAAAATACTGTGATTAAAAATTTGAAATGTAATACAGATTAACTTGTTTCATGTTTCTGGTTTGTTTTCCATCTCATAGTTCTGTATGCTAATTTTATGTTGCATAGTATTTTGCTCTGCCTTTCTGTACTTGAAATGAGTCGGTACAGGCCAACACACTTTCTATTTTGCTCATTGTCATGATCATGCCCTGCTGGAACTCACGATCTCTAGGGGTATGAGCCAGGTGAAGACTAAAACTCTGAATGTGAGAAGACTAAACTTTCAGTTGTTTAAGGAATTAGTGGATGAGACCCCCTGGGAAACTGCTCTCAGAGATACAAGTGCGGAACAGAGCTGACAGGTCTTTAAAGACATTTTTCCTAGACTGGAAGAGCTCTCAGTTCCCACCTGTAAGAAGTCAAACAAGAAAGGCAGGAGAGTCGCATGGCTTACTGAGTACCTCCTAGTCAAACTAAAGTATAAGAATTATATTGTTCTGAAGATGGCTTGAAGGGAACACATGATAACTTGAATGGAAGTGAAACAATTACTTCATTGACAAAAGTTATCAGTGAAAGTACTCTCATTTAGAGTTGGATTTCAGATTTTTTTGTATTTTCTTTAGAAAATAAGGGACAGTCAAAATGACATTGTTTTGGTGTAGAGAGTATGACTGAATTTTGCACACAGCAAAAGGCAAAATTCACAATTCACAAAGCTGTTAACTTCCCTCTTATTTCGGTACAAATGCCTTTTGTCTTAACCTCTCTGTAAAGTGTGGCAATTTCAACTTCAGCAAAAATTTCAAAGTTAATACAGTAGAGTAACATTTTGCAGTTTTCCACAGAAAACAGTAAAATTATTAGTAAGCACACATTTACCAAGTGGAAGACCAGAACCAGGGTACTTTTGCTCTCCAGTGAGCACTGGGAGATGCAGTAGTTGATCTGTGAAATGTTTCATGTCTATGGCTGTGTAGCCCCCTGCACCTCATTAAAATTGGAAGGATGTATATCTCTGGTATAGTAATTAAAAAATATATTGCACTCATCACCATCACTTGTCGTTGTGGTGATGGCTATTTCATGCTCTGCAAATACACACTTGTAATTAGCTCCCTTGTTTTAGCACTGAAATCTGGGACTTGGTTATAGTTGCAGTAGGTTTTCCTAGTCTGAGTTTTCTTTGTCTTTTTTGTTGTAGATGTATTGCTCAATTTGTTTTATAGCCTGAGGGGATACGCTTCTGTGCTGAAGTTTTTTCCTGTATTGCATTACTTTGTACAGGAAATCCTCCTCTATCAAAAGCTAAGCAGAGTGGGAGTATGTGTGTGGTGTAGAATAAAACTCAGTGAACTTGCTTACAATACAGGGTGTGACAGAGTCAAGACCAGAAGTTGCTGCCTGAATCCAAGCCTAGATTTTCGGCCTGAGGATACCCTTTCTTAGTTAGTCTAACCCCAGTGGCTCAAGTGAGGAATCTGAAAGCACAAAATGCAAGATCTGGCATATTTCTGTATTCTGGGGCTGCGATTCCAGTCTCCTGCATGGGTCTGCATGCTGTGACACACACATTCCTTTTAAAGACAAGAGAAAATGGTGCAAAGTCCGGTGCTCTCCAGGGAGAGGATGCTGCTCCATCTGAGCAGCATGACCCGACTGGACCTTGGCACTTTCAAATACATTTGTTTTGTTTCTCCCATGGGAAGAGGATTGGCCCCTACAGTTTAAACACTAAATAAAACTTAATTACCACTGATAATAGAATGTTTAAACCTAAAATATCAATTTTTCAATCTTTTAAAATCACTAGTTATTTTTAGTACAAGGCTGTTCTACAGCATTAATGGATTTTATAGTCTTAACATTTATTACACAGTGCTGCAGTGGTACACATCAGTGGCGTGTATTACACAATTGTATTTCTGCCAGTCCATAAACCTGTTGCCATTGTTTCCCATAGAAACAAAACATAACAGTATAAATATGAATAGGAGAGAAGATGATTACAGGAATGACTCACATTAACTTACAACTTTAAAAAAGAAATTTTGGACAAGACTTAAACTGTTGAGGTCCTTTTACAACAGTCTGATGCCAAACATGCAATTTCAGTGAAGAGGAATGTGTAAAACTTCTTGTCCAGAAGATGACTTCAAGTATATTGTACTTCACATGATTATTCAGACCTGATCTGAACAAAATAAAATAAAATTAAATTAAAAGTCCTTCACAGAGGAATCTATTCCGTTTACTATAGAAAACTAATGTAAAATCCCGTGTTCTCAATGTATGAAATATATCTTTTCTGACTTGTTGCTTTTGAATATAAAATGGGCCAACAAGAGGAATGATTCAGCCAGAAAGAACAAGCTTTTCCTATTTGTTAGAAGCCTCACATTACATGGTGAAATTGTATAAAATAAGTGTTTAGGTAAGATAACAGTAGCATTGTCACATTCTAAGGAGGAGAAAAAGGCAAATGAAGTTATTAGAGGGGAAAGAATTCTGAACTAGAATTTTTGTTTAACTTTTAGCCTATTTCCACAAATCTTGAAGAGTGTCTTGTGAAAATTTTATTTCCCATGCCTTTGTGGATTACAGAAATGGCCACCCTGGGAAAAGAGAATGGTTGCCTTTGCCTTAATTTAATTCAGTGATCCAATTATGAATTACACTGGAGCCTGTCAGTCTCTTCAGGGATAAAACACTGATGTTAACTTCAAATAATGTTAAACACACATGGCTTTGCCAAGCATTCATTCCAGAAAGAGTTTCAGAAGCATGTTCCAATTGAAGTTCATGTATTGTAGGATCCATAAGTATTTTTGCAAACAGGGTTAGGTGATTTCACCTACTTGCTAAATTATCCAAAATTATCCTAGTGAAAGGAGTCCCAAATCACTACTGAACAGAAACCTTTTATGTTGGTCTTTTTTTGTAATTTGCAGCTCTTCGAGATGCTGGAAAACAGTCAATCAATAGTGACTGGAAGATAGAGCATTCAGGAACATTCAGTATTGCTGGGACCACTGTCCATTATGTTCGAAGAGGTCTCTGGGAGAAAATATCAGCCAAAGGTCCCACAACATCACCTTTACATTTACTGGTATGACAATATGGTTTGGGGTTTTAAACCTGATTACTGTCACATAGTCTGCTAACCGCTATTTTTTTCCAGGATCCTGAGGATAATGAGATCTCTGTAAGATATACTCCCTTTTATATATGTGCACCCCTGTTTATATAGAGAGGTCTGTCAGTGTACTCCTAAAAAAATGTATTTAAATCCAAGAATAAGCTTTATGTTGTTGAGGTAGGATGGAAGGTCTCAGCATTCCTACAAATGTAATAAAAAACTGATGTGCCATTTAAGGAGAGAGATTTAAATTAATATCAGATTATTTTTGTCCTGCCTGACTATAGCACAGCATCACCATTTCAGGATTGCAATCACCAAGGTCTCCATGGAGAAGTAGCATTTTGATGCATTTCAATGTAAGAGAGGAAATATTGATAGACACCAGAAAGAAAGAGAGAGAGATGATGAGGAAGTATTTCAGATGCAAGAAATTGGCTGGTATAGCGAAAATAGTTTAAAATCTGATGTATCGGGGAAAGAGCTCCTCTGTTTAAGAGCACCGAAATCACAGGACATAATAGTCCTCCAGGTTTCTGTTGAATTTTGTTTATTTCACACAGAGAGCTTTTTGACCTTTATGTTAAGTAAAATAGTTCTTTTCATTGTCTTGATTTGGATACTCTCATCAATTTCTTCTACAAAATTCACTGGAAGAGCTAAAAGGCTATAGAGCATTAAGACATTCTGTTGTGCTTTTCAAGATGATCTCATAGTTCAGAGTTAGTCTTCCACAGTGCCTGTATATCTTCTCTGTATCTGGCAGGTGCTGCTCTTCCATGACCAGAGCTATGGTCTACACTACGAGTACACAATCCCACTGGATCCTCTTCCTGAGAATCAGAGCTCTAAAGTAGCTGAGCCTCTTTTCATGTGGACTCATTCTGGCTGGGAGAACTGTGATGCTGTATGTGGTGGAGGTAAAATAAAAGAAAAATGTACAAACACACACGTATATTAAAAATGTATATACAATATGCATTTGTATACACAATACATATGTGTATGTGTATACAATATGCATATATATATATATATGTATATATACACACTGAGTGTGTATATATATATCGATTAAAACACATTGTGTATTAGTATTTAAGACTCTGATGGTCAGTGTTGTATATTTAATAGTAATATCCTCACTGTAGCTTGTATGATTCCATACAATGGTGGACATACTGAAGTCTCACGTTTCCTTATTATAGTAAACAATTGTGATAACTCTAGGAAAAGATTCAAACTAAATAAAGTAAGTAGAAAACGATGGTAGTGAAAGAACAAAATCTAGATTAGCAAAACAAATTGAGTACACAGTTTCCAAGAAGAAATACAAGTGCAAGAGCTAGGACAAGAATAGAAAGTTCACATGCATTCCAGTCTGTATTTGGAAAAATTGAAGATAAATGATCTGTAAAAGATATTGCAAACTACAGAAAAGCTGAACCCCAATCTCAGATCAAATGTGTACAGTTAATGACATGAGGTGAGGATGATCCAGAAACATATGGAACAAATATTACAACAGCAGATATTAGTATGCTGATGTGATATTTTTCCTATGTTTATAAACCATAAAAAATGTGAATTTGGAAGAACAAAATACAGATATGAAAACAAATATTGGAACATGAACAATGTTGTTGTAACAGAATGCTTTAAAACTGCTGTTTAGAAGCTGGTTACTTAAATAGATAATTACACTGAAAAAACACTTGAGAGTTTTTTTTAATCAATGCAACCTATAGAGGTATGTTCGTGCCTTGTGCAATTAGTCAGACCTAAGCTGTGAGTACTTCACTGATTTTTGATACCTGTCCTTCCTGCTTACAACCTTGACAGTCATGGTTGCTCTGATCAGCAGTTCTGAAAACTGCTGTGCACTTTGTGATTGAATAAGAAGGCCTGGAAACACTTTGCTTTCTCATAACAGCAGCTTAAGGAACACCGTGTTCTAGCTCCTTTGACTCTGTGAACAATTCTGGTGTCATGACAGATTACTGTAATTTCCATAAACATGCTTTTTGTGGTTTGGTAAGAAAGCTTCTTCCCTGAAGGTATTTTGTATGTGGTGCTAGTAGCATCCTCTGTTTCTTATTCCTCTTCACTTGGAGTATTCATGCTTTTTACAGTTTCCTGAAGTATTTTTAGAATAATTTTAGTGCTACCACAGTCTCTCATTATTGCCCCAAATACTTCTAAGGTTACCTATCACCTGGAACAACCTTAAAATGCAGTATGTCAGTAATTTATTCTACATTAATGCTTAAGTAAATATTTAAGAGTTTTACTGTAATATTTATTTATCATATTTTTCTGTTGTAACTGGCCTTCATTTTATGTTACTGTCTAAAATAGCTGAGTTAATACAAAGTTCCATAAAAGGTATTTTTACAGCAAATATTCTGAAATATAAGTCAAAGATTTTTCTTACTTTAGACAAAACCATTTTAACTCTTTTTTTAGTTCTTGCCTATTTGTGTTTCTATTTTTAACATCAATATTTTTATTAATCTGATTAAAGAATATGACAATTATCAGTAATTTTGCTTAAATGCTTAAAGTGTATGTCAGGATGAGACTTCTGAGGAAGCCATGTGGTTTAGTGCATATTTCAGTACACAGTTTCCAAGAAGAAATACAAGTGCAAGAGCTAGAACAAGAGGTCGCTAGTCTGTGACCTCCTGTGTTGCAGAAAAGCTTTATTTGTGTGGAAGAGAATATGAATACACAGATGTATATGTAAATGCAGAAAGAATTGTCAAACATTTCAAATGCTGTACATGATAGATTAGTTGCATGTGCTCTCACGTACACAAGTGCCACGTAAAATGTCAGCAGTTCTCACACACATTTATAACTTAACTGCTCCATCCCCAGGCACATTTCTGACTGCTGGTGAACATCGCATGCTTAAGTCTGCCCCACTCCTGCGTGCACACTGTTTGTCGGTAAAATTCCAGATAGAAACAGAGTGTTGAAACACAACCATAGGAACAAATGATTATGAACCTGTTTTCTGCTAATTGATGTCTTTAATTCAAAGATTGTTGGTTTTCTAAAAATTGGGCTCCAGTCTTATTACAAGTTACTGCTTGTGGTAGGCATTACCTTAAATTCTGATTTTTAATGCTTTCAGCTTCAAGAGCTGAAACCAGGCTCCAACCTACCCATCAGGGCAAGGTTTCTGAACAGAACAAACACTAAGTCTCTGCAGGCAGTACCTAGCTTACTAAGTGGTTCCCCTACACACCAGGTCAGTTATGTGGCCTCTTTAATTCATGGGGCATAGTGCAGGCTCCTTACTGAAGGTTGCATGTGCTGATTCCCTTTAGCTGAGTGCCAACTATGCCTGCCAGTATACTGCTAAAGGAGGCAGAACTACTGAGCTCGAGCAAGACGGAGAATTCCTTTCCTTATTTTATATATTAATTATCAGCCATACTTTTATATGTAATTTTTCTGCAAGCTTTTCTTAATGCTGGGTCTCAGTGGTTGAGAAAAAAACAATTATTCCAGTAAGAATAATTTGGCCTAAGGTTTTGGCCTATGACTAGTTACAGGAGTAAAGCAGCAAAACTCTGTTGGCAGTGATGTGTAAAGATTGGATTAGAAAATCACCTTGTTCCCTACAAACTTTAGCATCTCTCTTAGGCCCCTTGCTAACTTTGATTTTCATGTACAGGTTTCACAGTTCTTTTAGCCAAATTGCACCTGAAATAGCTGTATCTGATAAAGATACCTTTGTCCTTCCTTTTTTAACAAAGTTGCATATTCCTGGTTTCCCCACATACCTGCTTTGTTTTTCACTAGGTGAAAGAAAAACAACAGTCTCTTGCACAAAGATTATGAACAAGAATATCAGTCTTGTGGACAACAAGAGGTGCAAATATTTGACAAAACCTGAACCACAGATCCGCAAGTGCAATGAGCAGCCATGCCAGACCAGGTAATAGTGATTTGGTGAAATTTAACTGTAGTATCAAGATGTAAAAATCTTAGGGGCTAAGAGATGACTGCCTCTGGCAATGAGTGTGCAGTAAATACAT